TGAGGCGTTTGTCAATGAAGGAAGCGGTTGCGCAATTCTGTGGAACTTTTGTCCTAGTCTATAAGCAGACGTCTATGGCAGAACAGAATTGCGATAAGCACAGGTACGTGCAAATAAAAGTTTAAATCTTGAGCGTGTGGATTATGTAGATACAGCTTTTGAAAATTCATTGTGTAATGAGTGGTGTGTCTGAGAGTATTTTGGCGGCGAAATTTTCACATGCCTGTACGTGTCTGTCAATGATAGAATCGGCCAGTTTATCCCTGACAATGCCACTACTTTGAGAGATTTGTTTCAGAGATCTCGCCAATAAATAAAAGTTTCTCTTTAACATACCGAGAAAGATCACTGGGGAGCAATACAACCAGTGAGGTAGCAGGCATGCATTCACAAACCTGACAATCAGCTTATGGGGAACAGAAAGTACTCTCAATCGGAGTGAGAAATATGAAAGCTTTCTAACTTTACAGAATTTGTTTTGAGCATGCAGAGGCCATGATAAATTGTGTGATAAGGTAACGCCAAGGTATTTTACTACTGTTGATTTCGGTAGGGGTTGTTGATTTGCAGAGAGGGTGAGGAACCTATCTGTAAGGGCTGAATATGGTGCATCGGCCAAGAGGGAAAACACAACATCCTGACATTAAGGGACATTCAATGAGGGAACGGGAAAGGGACCAAGTGATAACGTCATTCAGCTTGCTTTGAATTTCTGAAGCCTCTTCAGGGGTGGATGCTTTGCAACCTATAACAACGTCATCAGCGTATTTACAGCCAATGAATACAGGAATGGGAAATTGTTCGACAAACATAGAAAAGAAAAATGGGGAAAACATTGCACCTTGCAGGACACCAGAAGAAAATGGGCGAGTGGAGGACTTTTTGCCGTTGAGACATGTAAACTGCCTTCTATCTGTGAAATAATCACAGATCAGTCTGCTACTACGATCTCTACCGATCCACCCGCATTCCCAATCGGTTACCGAAACAGTTGCCTATACTCCACTTTGCATGAGTACTGGCAATCAAAGAGAGAGCGGAGGAGGGGAACAAGTGGAACTTTGAAAACATTTCACCCTAGATTCAAGTTGTTTTCATTATCTCTCAGATCGGATATTTTTCCGTGAAAAGGGATCAGTGTGACGGTTCGCATGTGTAGTTTTTTAGACTGAGATGCACGAGCTCCACCGATTTAAAGG